GTATTTAATATGGATATATTATTAAATATTGCATAGTATTTAATGTGGATATAATAATGAGTATTGCATACTATTTAATGTGGATGTACTGAGTATTGCATTTTTACTTAATATGGGTATAGTACGAAGTATTGCATTCTATTAATTGTGGATATATTACTAAATATTACATTCTATCTAATGTGGATATAACAATGAGTATTGCATATTAATTAATATGGATATAATAATGAGTATTGCATTCTATTTAATGTGGATATAATAACGAGTATTGCATTTTATTTAATGTGGATATATTACTAAATATTGCATAGTATTTAATGTGGATATACTGAGTATTGCATTTTTACTTAATGTGAATATAATAATGAGTATTGTATTATATTTAATATGAATATAATGCAAAATATTGCTTTTTATTTAGGATTTATGTAACATTAAATATTTCAAAGAAAATAAAATATAGATAAAGAATTAATGATTATTATTATCTAAGAGCAATATTAAATATAATATTTTAATATAGACGATTAAATGACAAATTATAACGGAATAAAATTTTATTAGTCGATCAATTATATAATTGACTTTTTGTTTTTAACATTGAATTTTATCTAATATCTAAGAAATTGTAATAAGATCAATCTGCGTTTATGTATTTGTTTATTTTTTGTCTTCTTTTCTTGTAGAAATGAAAAAAAATAATTTAAATCTTGAAAGCAATGATGAGAGGCGAAAAAATCTATATAGAGATATTCAACCACGGTCAAGAAACGAAGAAGACAAACAAAGGCGAAGAGAAGAATGGATGATTCAACAAAAACTTGAGAAAGAGCACGAAAAATTAAAGAGAAAAAAAATATTTGAGTACGAGTTGAAACGAGCCCGTGAAATTAGCGCAAGTATCAGCAGAGGAAGATCAGCGAATGAAAGTGATAGCAAAACTAGAGATAGATCTTTGGAAAACAAATCTTTGGAAAAAAAAACTAAAGCTACGAGTTCTAAATCATCCGTTATGGCTGAGAAGTGAGTTAACTTTAACTATACTACCGAATACAAATATWAATTGATTTAACACGTTAAGCGTTCTGCTGGTTCCCAGGAACTGGCCTTTGACTTTCCGTTTACGCTGTGATTGTCCCTGCATGTTGTCTGTGAGATTAAATATTTTGTATAGCTTTCAAACAAGAAATATAAGTGTGAATAAGGATTTAATAGTCATTTTGGCATCATTCAATCTTTTCATTAYTTTGTTTATAACTCGCGCATCATAGATAACTATTTCCACTTGATGGTAGAATGGTGTATTAACGGAATGCTAAGCAAAACAGGCTTGGCACTTAACATGTTAAACGGGATTATATGTTTATTAAAGAATTTAATGAATACTCTAAGTAGTTTTAACAAATAAATACAAATTTTAAATATTTAGATTGGATACTTCTGGCAGTGTAGGTTCAACTTCTATATTTCAAGGCCCGGAGGGAATTAAAATAAGCGAGAAAGAACTACATTGTATTAAAGTAAATGTACATAGAAATTTGTCTGTGGATATGCCATCGAACGAATTAAATCGTGACATTATTAAACCAGAGGAGGTTGTCATAATAAGAAGAAGTGGTAAATTATTATATACATGTGTATATATATATATATATATATATTTATATAAATTGTTAGATTTATTTTTGGAGACAAAGTATCAACAAAAAAAGAAGTACTATTACGTTTAGTTTGAATATACATGTGCTGCTGTTCTATAGATAGAATAGCAATTTCTAAAATTTATATATACTAAAAAATAATTAGTATATTCTCGAACGTGAATACACACATATATTTCTATGCTTTTGTATTAGAATCAATTTTAATTATTACTTGGTTTTACAAAGCAATGGTCTTTCAAAAATATTATCAAAGAAAAATAATATAGTTATATTAGGGAAATATTTTTATTCCTTTAATCTACGTCAACTGAAGATGTTTATAATCCATTAATATACGACTGTGAAGATAGCAGAAGATAATATTCTGTTTACTTTAATCAAAATATCTCTTTTTATATATAGATATGTCTTCATTCGTAATTAATTAATTACTATTTATCCATTCAGGATAATGTTCACTTCAAATACAACGCTGGATCGTGATTTGTATGCAATGTGTCAAGTGTAAGCACAATTTTATAAATATTATTATCGCTGTAACTAATATTGCTTTGCTTATAATATTTCACTTTTGCTTGTTATTCTCTTCTTTTTTTTCTTTTTTTACACATTATTTGGTAGTTTCTCATTATTTGAGTGTAATTGTAATTGTAATTATTACTCTTGATCAATTTGAAAAATAATTAAGTTTTCATGGATGTTTATATTGAAAAAGATTTTTTTATTTGTAACAAACAAAATATTTTAAATTTGCAAGTATTCAATATTTAAACAGAGAATAGAGATATACTATATATTTTTGTTTTGATTTTATACTAAATAGTTTTTTTGATTATATATTACAATTGAAAAAATTTCTATGCATGAATAATAATTCTTAATAGTATGATTATGTGATGGTACAATACCAGCGGGAAGATCATTTGTGCATGACAAAAAAATTTTCTCAAAAGAATATTAAGACTCCGATAATTTTTTTCATTCAACTTGAAGATTGTTTATTAAATTAAGATCCCATGAAAATTCTACGTGTAATTATAATTCTATTGTTTACTTAATCCATTTATAATTAGTTAAATTCCAAAATTGAATGGTTTAAAGAAACGACTTAAGAAATATATACGTTTCTAATAACACAAAGTTTTCTTATGCAGTGATAAACAGTGATATATTATTGTGCATTATGATGTTGTTTAGAATTTGGTTCATATATAAACAAAAATTTTTAAATTGTTCTCTTCAACTGTATGTGTGTGTGTTTGGTTTTAATTACATAGGTTCGTGACAGTGAATGAATTTAATTTAATTAAGTTCATATTCTTATAAGCTGGAAAATAGCATCATTGAAAATAAATCTCTCTGAAGATTTTTAAATGTTGATGTTAACAAAAGTGCAGTGATTTTTATTAAGATATTGTGAATTTGTTTTTATCTGTTCTTTCTATAGTGTGTTGGAGTGATATTTTTTAATAGTTATTAATATTTCATCCGGAAGATCGTTCAACTGATTAATTTATTATATATGTATATGTATATAAAAGGACATAATGTTAATATTAAAAACATTATTTATAATATAACATGTGTAATGAAATAAAAACAAAATATCATAAATAGCGAATGAACGAACATTTTATTGTTAAATAATTTTATATACAGTATTATTTAACATAATTCTTTTTCTTTGACCAAAATAAATATTTTCATAATAATTGTAAGCCCAATTGTCGATAGTAGGAAAAATTACAGTTAATCAAACGGTAAATAATATAAAAAAAATACATAACACAGATATGATAAATGTTTTTATATAAAATATTAACAACTCGTAGGGATTATAAACTGACATGAATTTAATAGTATATAGTATTGCTTAAATTATTACGTCCCAATGCTTGAATTTTATTCGCTATTGTATATTTGCTTTCTATAACAGATATTATATGCTATTCGAACAACTAATTATTTCTTTTTTACATGTGTCATTGAATAGGAGAAGGCTCAAAACCAATCTTCGAAAGAGAAGAGTTACAAAGTTCTTCCAAGAAACATAAAGAAATCGAAGAACGTCGTACAGTGATGGCTATTGAAAGTGGAGACACAGGTGTTTAATATAAATATTTTTTACATAAAAATATTACTTTGTGCGATACTTATCACTAAGTACACACGAAAAAAATTAAACTTCTTACATTTATTTTTTACTAGGTATATTAGAAAAGATAAGATGTGAATGCGCATCGTTTCTTATAACTCACAGACTCTTATTCTATTTCTCTTCTATGCTAGCGTAAAATAAATTACCCAAACAATTAAATGGGTTCGACATTATGTAAGAAGTTTCATTTGAAAAACCTATATATTTTTTTACAATAGATTCTTTTTACATTTTAAACATTTGACATCAGGTAACAAATCGGAATCATTTAGAAGACGTTCTCCATCTTCTAATTTGTTAAGGCATCGTAGCCAACGTTCTTCGTCTTCTCGACGTTCCAAGTATGTAATACAATTATTATTAATGTGGATATACTCTAGTATTTATTAATAAATCAAATAACAATATGGATATAACAATATGGATATAACAATATGGATATAATATTAATGCATTTAATTTTCGAATGAATATAATTATTATTATATATAAGAAGAAATGGATTATATTTGTGTTTAATCCATCAAATTAATTAAATATTTTTTCATTCGTTAATTAAATAGTATTACTTAAAATTAAGTCAAGTGTATTGCAATATTTACGAACATTCATATATATATATTCTAACTGATTTTTAATTAAATGTCATATATATATATATATATACAGGATATTTCTTAAGTGTTTGAGTCCTAAGCAACACACTTGTGCTCTTCAGAATTTATGTTAAAAAGATACCACCCCACTTCGTTTGATCATTAAAGAAACAAATGATGGCATATTATGATTCTGCCAATAGTCACATTTATAAAAAAGAATATAAAATAACATCGCTTAGATTTTCTCGATATAAATTTAAACAAACGCTATTGCACAGCTTGAATCTTTTCGACAAAATTTTTGTAAAGAGCCTAGGACTCAATCATTTAAAAAAAAGGATATTGAAAGATTGGAATATTGTTCTATATGTAGAAAAACATAAGCATATTATTGAATAACTTTTACAAAAGAAAATTAGAAAAAGAGATTATACCTTAGCGTCAATATTTTTCTTTACATTCATTTTCATGTTTCTTTCTTTTTAATTTTTTCTTTTCCCCCCTTTTTTATTATGCTTTTTCATTCTTCATTTGTCATTAATGCTATCATTTTTTTTTTCTTTTTTTTTCTTGGCTTAATAAATTAGCTTATATCCTTTCAAATCTCATTTCAGTGTATATAATATATTTAATCCTTATATTATTAATTATCGTTATCTGTCTACACAATATATTTTGCTTTTATAATAGAATATGATGCAATCACATATTTTATTAATGTTTTGTCTAAATCTACATTTATGGATATATTGCACATTAAAAATGTCTAATAGACAATAGTGCACATAAAATAATAATTGACAGTGACTGACGTTATTATATAGACTGTTGTTGATGTGAAAAAGACACATCTAGGATGGTTTTTTTGTTTTGTAGAATAACTATAATATTTATATTGCAGTTATATAGTTTATAAATGTATACATGAAAATTCTAAATGCTTTACTAAAAAAAGCGTATTTGAATTTAATTTTATGCATGTTCGATTTTTGTTATTATTATTTGTTTTGTTCTAGCTTTACTAATGCTTCAGAAGATTTGCAGAAGAGCCTGGATGAACAATTATTATATTGGATTCTATCGTTTGATGTAATATTTATGCTCTAATTTTTTTTCTCCTATCTAATAATTATTTTGATCACGCTTTAGAAAATTTCTCCTTCCATTTCACGAGTAGAGAGAGAGAGAGAGAGAGAGAGAGAGAGAGAGAGAGAGAGAGAGAGATAGAAGGCTACTATAAAAATTTGAACAGGATAACAATAGATAATTTTTTTTAACTTGCAATGTCCCCACAACACACAAGCACCGCTTTTATTGATAATTCGATTTATTGCATTGCTTATTATTGTATTTATTCATCAAATAGTATACATTATTACGCATTCGATTCAAATTTATTACACAAATAATAATTCGATGTATATAATTACATTAGAGAATAATATTACGAGGTAAGTTATATACGGTAGTAAAGCGTATAATGTATATACATTTACATTTGCTGCTTCTTCATTGTATATACAAATTATTGATTATTTTTAATCGTTCTATTATTTTTTATTAAATATATATATATATATTATTTTTTATATATATTTAAATTAGATATATATGGTATATGGTTTATTTGTTTATGTAAAGATTTCAGTATCCTCTAAGAGGATTACGTTTGTACACGTTTGAACAGGTGATAGCATTTGACTATAATTATACTAATAATAATCGTTAATAATAAGAACAATGTGGATATAAAAATAAAATAAATATATGGATATTTTACATTGAGTATTGTTGAACTTGAAGATAACATTCGTATGAAGTACCAAAAAGTTGCTAATAACATTAGTTTATGCATTAATGAGAAACAATTAAATTATTGTACGTTTTTAAATGTTGAATATTATTTGTTAAAGAAAATATATCAGGGATATCATACGTATGTTAGAAATGTAATTCTATATGATTATTAATTAAAATTCTCTATTATAGGTCAAAAGAATCAAAAGATTCGAGTTGTAAATCTGACTGGAATATTAGCAAAAAAAGTGATAGGTAATTTTGATTTAATTTATATTTAAATGTATAAAGTGTCTGAGATATTTCATCAACCAATTTATAGAATACATTAACAACAACGTTTGGTCCAAATAATTTCAAAGACATTTTGTATATTTTAAAAGGATTAAATATAAGAGCATAGTACTATATATAAATAATCTGTTAATGTAATTATGCAATGTTTCATAGACGACCAAGTAGAGAAAGATATCGTGAAAGAGATAGAAGAGACAGCGAATATGATCGTCCAAGCAGTAGCAGCAACAGGTACAGATCATCTCGAAATAGGGAGAGCTCTTATCGAGAGTATGGAAATTATCGACGTGATTCTTCTCCCRAACAAGATTTTAGTCATAGGTAAGCGTAAAGGACGAACGTAGAAGGAGCACAAAACATTGTCCTGACGTATAATATATTTCCTACAATAAAAATAGGAGTGWATCACGGAGAGGTGATAAGGAAGAGGAAAGCAGCAGTAGCAGCAAATTCAAGAATTATTCCAGTAATAGAGAGAGAAGATCTAGATCTCGTTCTAGATCCAGAGATAGTAGGTATAGAGAGAGACAAATGGTACCATCCTATTGCGTCGACCAAATGCCTTATCCAGTTTATTACGGGGTAAATAGTATCGACGATACAAATAAAAAACTTATTATATTCTTACAAGTAATGTATATAAACAAAAAATATTCTAAAACTCGTGAATTTACAGCCACGACCTATGATGGTGGGACCCATGATGCCATATAGAGGACAAGTTCCTATGCCCAGAGGCGGCAGATTACCTCCTTCGTTAATAGGACCCATAAGACCATTTCCACCTCGTTTCATGCCACCCAATGTATTTAGACTAGGTCCGCCATCCAATTATAGTAAGGGCTTTTCTTATTTATAATAAGCTTTTCAATGATGATAATAATGGTACTCAAAAGAAAACTGTTTATTCTCAGGGTTTGGACCAATGCTTTAACAGGATTTATTGTTAGGAAAAAATTTTCTGACAATTTTATATTTACTAAATACAAGTATTTTATCATATGCAACTTATGTAATCTATTTTAAAAATACGTGTTACGTTAAAATAACGTAGTATAGATATTGTTCGATGAAATAAAATCTTTTACATTAAATTACGAAAAATAATGAATTTGAAATAAAGCGCTTTTTTAAGCGAGCCAATCATATATCAGTAGTTGTTTATACAATAATATACGAGCGTATGACGATTTGATTTTGATTCTCAACCAATTACGATTCGACATACGGCTCATTACACCAATCACAACTGTACTTCTGTTTGCCGCTTTACAAGCCAATCAGCGGGCAGTGATATCTTGGCGCCAAATACTTGGACAAGATGGCGTGAGTTTTTTCGGATCTGTCGTCGTGCGCTCCTTTAATTTAAGCATTTAACGAATGTTTAGGTAAGATTTAATCGCCATTAATATATATAATAATAAATACTTAATTAAATTTTATATTTCGTTAACTTTAAAATATTATTTAATTGTATTTATAACTCTATAACATTATTTATATTCGTTGGAACAATTTTCATGGGGTTGCTAAGCAACGCCGAGGATAGTTGAGAAACGGTGAAATGCGCAGGAAAGTATACGCGCATACATAAATAGATGTAATAGAGTCGAATAAATATACGCAGCGTCTCTCAATATCCAAGAATATCCATCCTACCGGCATGCTACTTTCGTTTGCTTGGAGAGTAATCACGAGAGAAAGAGAAACACCGAGAGAGGGAATAAGAAAGAAAGAAAGAAAGAGATAGATAGAACCTAGTGAGGGTAAAAGAGAGAATAAGAAAAGGAGCGGCAGTAGGGCGAAGGCTCGACCGACCGATCGACCGTATCGTGTGCTGCTCCCTCCAGTTTTCTCTTTCTCTTTTTCTCTTTCTCTCAAATATATACATATATATATATACACACACACACATATAGACACACTCCCATCGGAGTAGAAACGACGACGACAACGACACGGAATCGTTGAAGCAAGTTGGCACGAGAGTTAGTTTCTCAGCATCGTCGAAACGATTAAGGTAGCGTTAGTTCTCCTTCGCACGAATTCGAAAGAAAGAGAAAGAAACATATAACTTACAGTTCGGTTATTTATCTTTTGAAAGGCAAAACGAACGTACCTTTCTCTTTGCGAAAGGAAATATAACACATATAGAAAGAGTGTGAGAAACCGATTTATATATATATATATATATATATATATATTCATATTAAATAAACAAAAGTATTTGCATCTCCTCGTATGCATATACGTGTTACATATTAAACGTCGTATATTAAACGGAAAAAGAAATTAATTTAAGGAATTTCGGGTTTTTTGATTCGGTGTGGTGTGCGTGCGCGCGCGCGCGCTCGCGCTCGCTCGCGTGGGCCCCCTACCCCCTCCCTACCTCCATTGCACGTTTGTGTTATATTAAAAAAAACCGTTGATACAAATTCGAATAGAATATATCTACCGTATGTAATAATAACATTTTTTATATAATACTACCTAGGAGAGAATTTTATTAATAATGAAAAAAATCAAATCTCTACATATATATTAAGTAGATTAATTCTATTATGCGCGCCTAAACGTTTTGAAAAGTGTTGTGTTGTGTATACACCACACACCGTTGGATCGGTGAAGGGTGGGGGCAGGGGTCGGAGAAATCATATATACGAAAAATGCGCGTGCGCCCAACCGCGCGCAGGTACGCACGCGGAGGTGCATGATGTTACTATTACTATACACACACACACACACACACTCACTCTTTCTCTCTCTCTCTCTCTTCTTTCACCTTTCTCTCTCTCTCTGAACCTCTTGTTATCCTCTTGCCCTTAGCCTTGATCGAGAAACTCTGAGGACGAGGCGACGCGACGCGAACCACCGCGACGTCGACTACGATCACCACCACCACCACCACCACCACTACTACTACTACTATATCACGACACCACTACCATCATCATAACCATCAAACCATCAACACGAAGACCACGACCACGATCACGACACGAGGACGTATAACATTAGAAGCAACTTAAAGCGGGTTCCTGCTGCTGCTGTTGTTTGCTGCTGCTGCTGCTGCTGTTGTTTGCTGTTGCTGTTGGTTTTGATTTTGGTTTGATGTTGGTTTGGTGTTGTTGCTGGTGATACTGTTACACTACTGTCGTCGTCGTCGTCGTCGTCGTCGTTTTCGTATTCGGAAAACGTGGTGGTGGTGGGCGGCCTCGCACAGCTAGAATGGACGAGGAAGAAATCGACGGTGTCAAGTCGCCCATTAAAAGACTCGGATCTACTCGGAAATTACTCGTCTTTAACAGTAAGTATTTTCTTTCTTTCTTTTTTTTTCCTTTTTTTAAATACCCATTCTTGATTTTTCATTTGTTCGTTTGTTTGTTTGTTTGTAGTTCATTCGTTTCTTTTCTTGATTTTGTTTGGGGGTAGTTACTTTTTTTTTTTTCTTTTTTATTCCATCTCTTCTTGACCCACCCCCCTCTCCTCCTCTTCATCGCCACCACCATCACCAAAACCGATCACTCTTTCTCGCTTTATTTTTATCCGTTTGTTTGTTTGTTTGTTTGTTGATTTATTGATTTATATATTAATAATGTCTATTCTTTTTTTTTATCTTTTTTTTTTAAAGGAAGAAACAGATAATTAGTATCAATCAACGTTCTTTTTTCTTCATCGGAGACAACGACCTTTTTTCTTCTTCTTCTTCTTCTTCTTACAACCTTTGCCTCCTCCTCCTCCTCCCCCTCGTTGCCCTTCCATAATCCTCCTCGTTCCCTTTCTTTTTCTTCTTCAATTCTTTGTCCTTTCAATCTTACCTCCGCGTTTCAATATTTTTCTTTTATTCCCTTTAATTACAATTTTTTTTTTTCCTTTTTTTTTCTTTTTTTTCTCTATTTCTTCATTTTCCCTTTCTCATTCCTCTTTTTTCTTACTTGTATTGCCCCCCTCCGCCATTTTTTTTTTTTATCTTCCCTATTATTATTCTTCTCAATGTACGTGTTTATATATTTACTTGTGTGTGTGTGTGTGTCTATCTGTTAAATGTGCACGTGTAGAGTATGCGTTCGATTGCAAACGAAAAGAAACACACACACTTACACATACACGCGCGCGCGCGCGTTTATCGAATTTTTGTTTATTTCTCTTATTAATTTATTAACTTAATTTAACTTTTTTATTTATTTGTTTATATTTATTTCTTCATTCTCTCTCTCTCTCTCTCTTTTCTTTTCTTTTTTGTATTTCTTGTTTTTTTTATTTTCCTCCTCCGCCATTTTTTATCTTGCCTATTATTATTCCTCTCAACGTACGCGTTTATATATACTTATTTGTGTGTATTATTGGTAGTAGGAACACAACGTGCATGTATGTGTATTGGTGGTGTATGGTGTTTCGATCGCGAATCAAAAAAAATACGCGCACACACACATTGCTCCACGTGTATTGCAATAATTTTTATTTCTCGTTTTTTATTCTTAATAAAAAAAAAAAAAAAAAAAAAACTCCGCGGCTCCCCACAACTCCCCCACCCAAAACAAAAAAAGATTAGGTACATATACTTTTTTATATGTGATAAGTAATTGATTTCTAAATAAATAATTAAAAAAAACGTATGGGATTCTCGGGTTTTTTTTTTTTTCTTTTTTTTTTACTCTCTCGAAACCGCGCGCAAAATTATTTACGTGCGCATTCTTCCACGCGCAGGATGCATCTCGCACGCATACACATATATACGTATGCATTCGCATATATATATATATATGCAAACAAATACGTGCATATGTGTATTTTAGTGACTTGCGAGAGAAAGAGAAAGAGAAAGAGAGAGAGAGAGAAAGAGAGAGAGAGAGAGAGAGAGAGAGAGAGACCTTGGAAAATAGTTTCCCTGGAATGCAACAACCTCGCGTGGATATAGTTATTTAAAAGTTGTTTAGAACACACACACACAAAAAAAAACATCGAAAGGAAAAATAATAACCCAGATAAGAAAAAAAAGAAAAAAACAAAAAAAGCAGATAATATTTTTTCTCACGATTATTAAAATAACATAAAATATGTATATTCACATTCATTTTAAAATCATTATCATCGTTATAACCAAATTTTCCATTTCCTATATACACGCATATGTGTGTGTGTGTGTGTCATCATAGCGCATGTGTTATTATTATTATTTGGAAACGATTGTAATATTATTAGTATGTAAGTTACATATAATTTTGTCTCGTTTTCATTTTCAAACGATCATTATAATTAAATTTATCATATTTTTTTTTTTCACGTCTCGACACACATGCGCACAGTATATATATGTGCACATTAATATATTAATAATAATAATAATAATATTTATTGTGTTGCCTGAAAAAAAAGTATTACGTGCCGATTGTTGAAAAAAAAAAAAAAAAAAAAAAAAAATTGTATGAACGTTATTGAAAAATTTAAATTTAATACGGGACAGTGTTAACGTTTAACAATTCAATTTTCAATATGGCGTTCTAATATTTTTTCATTATTTCGTTCTTGTTATTTTTCTGTTTTCTTTTTATGTAAATTTATAATTCTTTCATATCCAATTGACAAAAAAGGAAAGAAATAATAACGTGGGCTGATTGGCAAGGTCGTATTCATGAATGTGTGCAATAGGGGTCCCGCAGAAAGTTCACAAAATTCAACAAAATGAAATCTGTTTTTATTGGATTCATTGAATGAATGAATGAATTAATTAATTAATTAATTAATAAGACTTCCGTTGGAAATGTTCATAAATGTTAGTAATTTTTAGGATTGCGTCAGGATTATTTTTTATTGCATCCTGCGTTTTCATTTTGCACAGGGCCCCCGTGAAATATATAAACGGGTCTGCCGATTGGTATGATTGATAGTAATGTAAACTAGTAATGTACTAGTCAATGGTGAAAGAGACGACGTTCGACAGTTATAATCATTCTCGAGGAATGTTGGTTGTGTGCATACGAAAAAATAAAGGCTTTAGCTGCTGTTACAACTACAACAATAACAATAACAATAACAACATATTTCTTTTTTCTAATGCAGAAATACATCTTCTACTTTTATCATTTT